CTCAGATGGTGGGGGAGGATGCCGTTCAGACCTGACAGGCTCACACATATTGTGAGGGTCTGCTGGGAACATCTGGCAGTCTCCTGTCAGAAGGAGCTTCAATTCCCACCTCTGGCAGAACTTCCAAAACATTCCGAGGGAGGCGGGGGACAATGAGTCTGAATGGGCCCTGTTCCGTGCCTCCATTGTTGAGGCGGCTGACCACAGCTGTGGCGGCAGGGCCGTTGGTGCCTGTAGTGGCGGCAACACACGAACCCGCTGATGGACATCGGTTGGTTAGGGATGCTTTAAAGCTGAAGAAAGAGTCCTAATGGGTCCTTTAAGCCTGTGGGACTCCAGAGGCAGCTGATGGGTACCAGCAGTCCAAGTGGAATGTGGCTTGGGTGGTTGCGGAGGCAAAACCCGGGCATGGGAGGAGTTCGGTGAGACCATGTAGCAAGACTTCAGCATGGCTTCGAGGAGATTCTGGTCCACCATCAGGCGCCTCAGGAGGGGAAAGCGGTGTGCTACCAACACTATTTGTAGAGGGGACGGTGTGCTGCTGATCTCTACTTGGGAAGTTGTAGATCGGTGGGCAGAATACTTTGAAGACCTCCTAAATACCACCGGCACATCTTCCAGTGAGGAAGCAGTCTGGGGACTTGGAGTTGGGCTCTCCAACCTCTGGTGCTGAGGTCACTGAGGTGGTTAAAAAGCTCCTCAGTGGCAAGGCTCCAGGGCTGGATGAGGTCCCCCCAGAGTTCCTTAAGGCTCTGGATGTTGTAGGGTTGTGTTGGCTGACTCTGCAATACCGCGTGAACATCGAGGGCAGCTCCACTGTATTGGAAGACTGAGGTGGTGGTCCCCCTATTTATAAAGGGGGGACCACAGGGTGTGTTCCAACTACAGAGGGATCACACTTCTGAGCCTCCCTTGTAAGACTTATTCAGAGGTTCTGGTGAGGAGGGTTCTTTGGATTGTCAAACCTCAGATTCAGAAGGAGCAATGATGTTTTTGTCCTGGCTGTGGAACACTGGACCAGCTCTACACTCTTAAGGGGTCCTGGAGGGTGTGTGAGAGTTCGCCCAACCAATCTACATGCATTGTGGATTTGGAGAAGACGTTGGACCGCGTCCCTCTAGGATTCCTGTGGGGGTACTCCGAGAATATGGGCCACCAGGCCCTCTGATGCAGGCTGTTAGGTTCCTGTGTGAACGGTGTCAGAGCTTGGTCCGCAATGCTGGCAGTAAGTTGGGCTCATTCCCAGTGAGAGTTGGACTCCACCAAGGCTGCCCTTTGTCACCGATTCTGTTCATAACCTTTATGGACAGGATTTCTAGGTGCGGCCAAGGTGTGGAGGGCATCCGTTTTGGTGGTAAGAGGATCAGGTCTCTGTTTTTTGCAGATGATGTGGTCCTGTTGACTTCATCAGAACATGATCTTGGTTTTCGGTGGAGCGGTTCGCAGCCGAGTGTGAAGCAGCTGGGATGAGAATCAGCTCTCATCATCTCTATCCAATTGTTGACCAGTACACCAGTGCAGACAACAGCTGTACACAAAAACATCAGTGTTACGTTTCTTTTTTTTTTAGTTTTTTTTTTGGGTTCTAAGTCAACTTTATACTGCAGCCGCATTATGAAACAAAGCTGAAATCATTAAAAAGGAAAAGGAGCAACAGCATTTATTTTGTTGTTGAAGCGCTGGGATATGAGCACGACTTACACTGTGCCAAGATGAGTCCATGATTTATGTATAATTCCACCATCTGTTGCCGCTGAATATGTGGCGCAACCAAGCGATGAGTCCAACTGGCTAAAGGGACATTTACAATGTCTCTGTCTCCCCCACACAGCCGGGGAAATGGATGGCAGCAGCGAGCTCATGATGGCTCATGGGAGCGATGCATGAGGTGATGCAGACATGACTGCTGACCTCTTTACTCTCTCACTGACCTGAACATGCATGCACACACGCACACACACACACACACACACACACACACACACACACACACACACACACACACACACACACACACACACACACACACACACACAAACAGCACCCCATAAGCAGCTGACAGCCACTCATTCACTCCAGTGACATGCTCGGACTATATCTAAATGAAGGGTTTTCTTAGAATTGAAAAGCCAGTCATTCCTCCCCTCGTCCAGCTCGTGCATAACTCTCCAAACACGAGTACGCACCTCTTCCTTCCTCGGTCTGACAGTTTTTACTGTTTTCTCATTTCAACAGCTCAGTTTTCTCTGTTTCTCTTCATTAAGCACGTTGTAAAACATAGAACACAATGGAAGGTCTGGAGTCCTTTAGTGAAATGTGTCTTTCTCTCCTCTGTAAAATAAAAAAAAACAAAACAAAACAAAAAACAATAAAAGCAGCCACACCTTTCCTTGACACCTTGACCCTCTACACACATTCATGCACGCAAATCAGCTTTCAGCATGTTTGCTCTTACAACGTGAAAGCCTCTCTCATTAACCCCGGGGGCACCTCCAGCCTACCATTGTGCCCCTATCTTCTGCGGCATTCTGGGTAAAGTAGTTTAACAATGTCAACCTGATAAGCCCAATGCAAACTTACTGATAAGGAGTCAAAGACTGCACTAAATGTCTGTGTGTTACCAGGGCGTTGGTTGATTGAGGAGGATGTAAAAGACCAACGGGGAGTAAGATGGGGAGTGTGTGTGTGTGTGTGTGTGTGTGTGTGTGTGTGTGTGTGTGTGTGTGTGTGTGTGTGTGTGTGTGTGTGTGTGTCTGTGTGTTCTGCTTCATATCTTGGCTAAACTGTCAAAATGGCTAAAGACAAAAGGAAAACACCAGACAAGGAGTGAGCATGTGTATTATTCTAAACTCTGGCCAAGGATCATTAGTTACGTTAAAAATGAGGCAGGTCAAGTTTTCCTTTAATGACAGGAAGAAAAAAAAGGTGCTGAAACTTTAAACGGAAGGGCTGCCATTAACCATCACGTTTATGAGCAGCAACCTAGACATGGCCACTCCCAGGCTTCCTGTGAGCAGTGCCACGAGGCAACATGGTTGTCGTTTGAGGTCAACGGTGAGAGCTTTGTGTAGACCAGACTTTGGCAGGAATAGGCGTCGTAAAGGTGCTGTTACAGTACGATAAGAAGGTGTGATAGGAAGTCTCAAATAATGCAATAAAGTGCAGTATTCTATGTAGTAGAAAGTCCAAACTCTGCAGGTAAAACTCACTTTATTAGATGCACCTAAGCAGCAGCTCAGTGCATAGGTGAAGACAACTTGTGGAAGTTCACACTGGTCGTCAGGATGGAGAAGATAGAGGATTTAAGGGACTTTAAACAGTTGTTGGTGTCAGACAGGTTAGTCTGACTCTTTCAGAACCTGCTGATCTACTGGGGCCTGCAGCCACCTGAAGGGTTTATAGAGAATGGTTGAAAAAGAAGAAATGAGAGCAGCAGCTGTGTGGATGAAAATGTCTTGACTGGTTCTAGCAGCTCAAACAACCACGGGTTCCTATCACGTTCTGCAGAACAGCATCTTTGACCCACAGCATGTAGAACCTTGAAGCAGATGAACTCCAGCAGCAGAAGACCACATTGGGTGTCTCTCCCGTGGGAAACTGAGGCTATGATTCACACTGGATCACCAGAACTGGAGCAGAAGAGACTGGAAGACCTTTACTTATCTAAAGAGTCTGAGTCAGAATCTGGTGACACCAGCATGAAAACATAGATCCATCCTGCCTGGTATTAATGCTTCAACATGGTGCTGGTGGTGTGGTGAAGGATATGTTATTGTCCCTTTGGACCCCCTACCACCACCTGAGCCTGCACATTACAGCCTATATTGATTACCATGAAAATCCCTTTACGACCACATGGACCCATCTTCTGACGACTACTTCCAGCAGGATAAAGCAAGTCACAAAGCTTAGATCATCTCTAACTGGTTGCTAGAACATGACCGTGAGTTAACTGGACTCCAACGACCTCCGCAGTCACCAGACCTCAGTCCAGAACCTTTGGGATGTGCTGGAGCAGGAGATTCTCATCGTGGATGTAGCTGTGTGATGATGTCATGTCAGTTCATCCATCCACTTTCTTTACTCGCTTATCCAAGGTCGCAGAGGGGCTGTGTACACATACATTCTATCTCCAGCTGTCTTCGATCAAATAGGCGGGGTACACCCTGGACAGATTGCCGGTCCATCGCAGGGCAACACAGAGGCACACAGGACAAACAAGCAAGCACACACACACACACACATACCTAAGGACAATTTAGAGACCAATTAACCAGACATTTGTATTTTTGGACTGTGGGACGAAACCGGAATACCTGTAGAGACCCCACACATGCACAAGGAGAACATGCAGACTTCATGCAGAAAGATCCCAGGTTGGGATATGAACCCAGGACCTCACTGCTGCAAGGCAACAGTGCCAGCCACTCTGCCACTGTCAGTGTGGACCAGAACCTCAGAGGAAGGTTTACAAATCCATGTTGGATCTGACGTGATTAACTAAGGTGCTTCTGAGGACAAACCAGGTACCTAATAAAACGGCCAGTGGGAGTGAACACAGGAAGAAAACAAAACACCTTTAAAAACACAAGTGAGCTATATTTAAACGCGGACACACTCTCAGCATGTGTGTGTGAACACCAAGTGAGGGTTTGAAATCTTCACAGGCTGAAAGCAGATACGCCCGCTTTGTTCCCCTAATGGCGCTGTTCCGTTTTTATTATTCTGAAAACCCGACCCACCTGAAGCGCCCCGAGAGACTTAATCCAGCCCGTCTCCGCTCTCATGAAACACCACAAGATACAGTTTCCCTTTCTCCCCTCCTCCAGTCAGACATGGCTACAGTTTCAAATTGCTTCCCTGTCTCGTGTGTCCCGTCCCCACCTCTTCATTCCTGCTTTCTTCTGCTGTCCATTCTCTCACATCTGACAAACGATGGGCATTGATGCACCCCAGGCGGCCCTCAGAGAGCCAGCACCCAGCAAGAAACGAGTCAGAGATGCTTTATTTCATAAGATCCTTTTTTAATGAAACACAAAAGGCAATAAATTTAAGATAAATACTTTTTCTTTTTGTACACGAGGAAATATTTAAGTCATATTTCCAAAGAATGACTGAAATTACATAACATATTTTAGTAGGCTATTTTAACCATACAAAGCAGGTTCCAGTGGGTCTTAAAAAACACAAAATGATGTCACCCCTGTCGAAATGTGATGTTCAGAACTGAATCCAGTGTTTTTTTTAAATACAGCTGCTTTTTCCTTTTTTTTTTTTTTTTTTTTACAAAAAAATAATTTAAAGACCCATAAAAGTAATATTCCAAAACTGAGTTTCACATTAGATTCCATTTAAAGCTTTTGCTTTTGCAGTGTAACAGCAACAACGCTGTTAAGAGTCAGTCAAAGTCTTACAAAAGAAACAAAAAGGCATTCATGTTCTTTCTCCTGTACATCCTATTTACTGACAAAAACAGTCATCTCAGGCTTGCATAAACAAGAAGATGATGGTGATGAACATTAAAAAAAAAACATTGAACACAGACATTTTTGGCAAAGCATGGATAAAAGTGACGAGAAGCATAATTCGTGATTTGATCCTTTTATCTTGTATTTTTCGTCCCTCAGCATTGTCCCATTGATTGGCTCTGATTGTCCTTCACAGTCACGTGATGCTGTTCTGGTTGCCATAGAGACCTCAAGTGCATCAGCTGGGCAGCGTGTAGACAATGTCGCCGTAACATCTCTCGGAGGCCGTCATAGCAACGGCGCGGACAACAAGGGGAGCACTATCAAACGCCTCTGTGATTGCAGGGGTCCCGGATTCAGACTTGATTGAATGTCTTTCATCATTTTTAATCTAAAAAAAAGCTTTTAATCTAATGCGGTTCAGCGTAAACTAACAGGTGCTTTGGTATGTTTCTTTTTGCTTCCAGATAAATATCTACATTTTCTACAGGAATACAGGCAAAACAGACAAAAAAGAACATTTAGGATGGAGTAACAGAGGAAACCTAGCTTGCTTTTCCAGTATTTGTTGAGAAAAAAAATCAGGAAATGCACATTCTAAATGGAAGAATGAAAAATAAATGCCTAGACACAAGTAAAAAGAGCAGTTTCCCCAGATTCCTTTATAAAACATGTCCCAAAAATCATTCCCACATTTTCAGCGTTTGCCTAGAGTGACAGCTACAACCAAAATCATCACATCAGTCGCAGAGTTTGACCAAACCTCAAATCCTGTTCAGTGCATCAAGAGAAGGAAACAGAAGCCCACAGCTCACCCGCCTGTCCTATAAAAAGCAAAACACTAAATAAAATAATCTCTGCAGAAGAAACAGGAACAAATAGATATGTATAGTATATACAAAGCTGTGCAAGCACACACTCACCCTCTCTCTCTCTCTCTCTCTCTCTCTCACACACACACACACACACACACACACACACACACTGTCTGTACATGTGTCTTCGCACCTGGACAGAAGGATACGAGAGAGAGAGAGAGAGAGAGAGAGAGAAGAGAGAGAAAGAGAGAGAGAGAGAGAGAGAGAGAGAGAGAGAGAGAGAGAGAGAGAAGAGAGAGAGAGAGAGAGAGAGAGAGAGAGAGAGAGAGAGAGAGAGAGGTATTGACGTGTATGGCTTAAAAAGGAGAAAAATTGTTGTTCTGCGTTTGTCGCAATGGCTAAAATCTACACGCTAAGTACTGGATTGGTTAATAGGAGTGTGTCTGAGACATGCTGAGTCATGACATCAATGTCCTAACGTGATGAGCGCACACACATTCTGTACAAACACGCACACACACACACACGCGCATACACACACACACACACACATTAAAGCACTATTCATATAGAGCTCATTAAATTTCACCACATTCACTCTGCAAACACACATATATCCATTTAAGTCCAAACTACAGTGTTTATTGGTCCTATTGGGGATGTCTCAACCCCATTGTCCCAGTCAGACTAACAGTATAAGACCATTAAAACCATCCAAACCAGTGTGGTTTACAGTAAGTCTCTCCCATTTGTTTTTCCTGCTCTCTTTGTTGCAGGAAGTCAAGCATGTTGCCATTCCTTCAAGATAAGCGAATACTCTCCAAAGTGCTTGTGTCCTTGGTGTCTTTAGATGCAGTAATCACAATGCAGGAACAGCTGGAAACGCTTGGTCCCCTTCTGCTGTGAAGGTTGAACCTGGAGTGGACTAGCCTCTCTCTCAGAACAAACACATCTCCTACAAGTTCCAGTAATGTAAGGCTTTATCCACGGGGCTAGATCATTTTATGGGGAGCAAATCCATCCACCAAGGCAAAATTATTGGTTTGTTTAATTCATTTGATTCTCTTTGCAGCTCTCTGATCTAGGATTCTCACAAAAGTCCAGGGATCAGGTCAGTATTTGGATTCCTCTCTAGCCAGCAGTGCTAGGACATGATGACCATGCCATCCACGCTGATCAGTTGGCCTGTTGTTGGTTCATAGGTTCCAGCCAGGTAGAACAGGTCGTTGGAAGTACTGCCCGGTTGGCGTTCACGCGTCAGGTGGTCGTACTCTGCCTTACTGACCACCTGACAGCGATGGGAGATGGTCTGCACGTCATTCTCATCCTCATGGCTCGACTGGTACAAGGCATTCTAACGGAGAGATGGCAGAAAGAACAGTTACCATAAACAATCAAGGTTTATTTGAGGAACACTGGATATGGCTGAGAAAGTTTGAAAGGCAATGTAAAAAGAAGGCTTGACATAGTCATCCTTCATCTCCGATGGTCATAAAAGACCAAAGTGTTTTTTACTCACATCAAAACAAAACATTATAGTTTTGAACTCATCCCTGCACTGTCTGACCATACCTTGCCATCGCGATGTCGCTTCCCGAGGCGAGTCTCCTCTGGGTGATAGAACCACTTGACCCTCACTACCATGCTGGAGCTCCACGACTCCCAGAGGCTCTCCACTCTGCCCACATAGGGCAGCTGAGGTCGCCCAGGTGACAGAAACACAGCACAGTCGCCAACACGCACCGTCTCCTTGCCCCGAACGATGGCCTTGTAGAAAAGCTTACGAGCTTTACCCTTCAGACCTCTCCTCTTTTTGGGGAAAAAAAAGAGATCTCAGTTAGTTTATTCAGTGAATTAATTTTAGACCCATAAAGTGAACGATTTAATGCTACTGAGCGAAATTTAGTTGGAATAGCAACATAAATTAGCCCACACGCTGAAGACACAATTCTAGGACTCAGAAACCTTGCAGACTTTGTGCTCTATACTAAGTGCTTTTGTAAAATCGAATTTAAAACAACATTTTACAGGAACAACACTGTAGAAAGAAAAGTTGAGCAACAAGAACTACAGCAAAAATGTCTTGACATTGGTTTTTTTTACCGATATACCAATATTATCTGACAATTTCCAATACCAATTCTGTAACCATTACCAGATTAGCAGCAACAGAAATGCTACTAAAAACACACAAATATGTGAAGCTGGAGAAATTAGAATACTGTGCAAAATTACATTTATTTCAGTAATTTAACTAGACTGAGAGACTATTTAAAGGCTCAGGAAGTTTTACAGATGTTTCTATTTGCAATTATAAATTTTAGCTGATTGGGGTCTTGTTAAATATCACACATTGACATTTTAATAGTCTAGATTAGTGTAATGTTCCTGTTAGTAGTTCCTCCTGTTAAGTGCCCATTTATTTCAATAATTCAGTTTTATAAAGAAAAAAATGGACATACATTTTACTATGTTCCAGTCATTAGTCATTAATATTTCACTATTGTAGTAATTTACAGTAAATCAAGTAAGTTTAATTAATAGGGGAACCCATTTTTCTTGCATTCTTTCATGAATAAAGTGACAAAGTAGTTATTTTTCGTGGTAATTAGTTACTTTTATTATCTTGTAACTCTGTGAGTTACTTTTTTGACAAAGTAATGAGTAACTATAACTAATTACGTTTTAAAAGTAATGCTCCCAACACTGCTAACATCACATATCTCCAATTATTCGTGTTTACATTTTAAAAATGTTCTGTGAAAAATTACAACTACTTCAATTTAATTTAGTAAAAAAAAAAAGTGTCATATTTATTTTGTCTCCAACAGCAGCTGAATCCCCTTCTCCCTAAGATATGTGTATTAGCCAATAGTGTTTTTCTTTTTTCTGTATACTGCAGCTATGGTGATATCACATTTATAGGGAACTTAAAGTAACAGTGTGTATTTTCCCTAGTGATGGGGGCAGTACATACCTAAATCCTTGCAAGCAAGTGGTATTTTTGTGTTCAAGTAAGACCTTTCCAATGGATGGCTATTAGGGTCAAAAATCCCTGGGAACGTAAACGTCAGCATAATGACAAGCATACCAGACTCCCTTTCATCACTGGCAACGAGTGAAGAGGTAAATGTGTAAAACGACCACGTTTAAGAATGGAGAAAGTTTTATACCTGTTTGTTTCAAATCAGTAAACCCATTTTGCCCTATGGGCTTCCGTAGAAGGACTCAGAGGCTTAGGGTGTTTCTCAATGTCATGGCGCCTGGCCTCTCAAGGTGCCTTGCGAGGTCAGGCCCCTTGCTTACGAGGGCACTGTCCTTCCTTGGTCAAAGAAAACGGTTAAATGGAATAGACTTTTGTCACGTGACCACAGCGTCTGCGGCATTCACATAACGTCATGTGACACGGGAGATAACGTTATATTTTACACGCATTAGTTTCAATATAAATAAATAACGAACCTTTTACTTGTTCGCGAGTTACTACCTGCTACCGAGGCTGCAACTACTAAGCAACTAACCAACCATAGATAACTTCTTTGGATCTAAAAAAAAACATTTCAGATATCAATTAGTTGATTTACATTTAAACTTGAACTTTACCCCAAAGTAGCTGCCAGCTTCTGATCCGCCATCGTTTTGAAAGTACTGCGGTGTATTCTGGGACATTTTTAACCACGGTTAGGCTGCAAGACACCTCCCAGGTATCCTTCCTCCGCTAGCTAAACGGCTAGCAAACGGAGAACAGATGCCTCGGTAGAACATGAACATTGGAACACTCCTTGGCGGCTCCTGATGACATATCTCCTAGGCAACCAGGGTGGGACCAAGACATCAAGGCAAAGTTCCTTGGCATTGAGATACACCCTTAGACACTCTCCCATGTATTTTAGACCTGATTTTTATGGCTATACAAAACCACCAATATATTTCAACACTCTGGAGTGGTTTATTTCATTTTCAACAACATTTCAGTGGTCGTTACCAAAGATTAAGGTCAAAACTACACATTATCTCTTTAAGATATGAAATGTAAGCCATGGGGAAGATTCTTGTTTTTGTTTTATTAATTTGTCACTACTTAGGGCACATTTCTACTTCAGAAGTTGTGCCAAATAAACTAAAATATCTTAAAAACGTTACCTCAGATCTGCATTTTTACATTTGGGAGAGAGGAGAAGTAGCCGAAGAGTTTGATGTATAACTTTGTGTCATATTTTAGTGCCGATATCGGTCAACATTAATGGTAGACTGACATTATCGGACATCCCTACTTAGAACACACACACACACACACACACACACACAAAAAACTCAAACACCAAAGTGGAACCAACCCTACCTGTGTGGGGTTGCCGGACCATTTCCAGATCTGGCGTCCAGCCAGCAGGGAAGCCACTTTGGGAAGAGGTTCAGGTGAAGACATCCGCTGCTTTTTAGCTGTTGTTGGGTCCTTGGTGGCAGGTTTCAGCTGCTGGCCCACTGAACTGCTTTGGCATTGATGGTGGATGTTTGGAAGGCTTTCCTTCCTCTTCAGTTGAGTCTTAGCTGCGCTGCTGTTAGCCAGCATTGCTCCTTTGGAGATGTACTCCTTCCTGGCTTCTGCTCTGTCAGTCCTCACCTTTGATCCTCCAACGCCGATGCTAGCTTTGGTCACATAGCCATTAGATGGCACAGAGGTGGAGTTGGAGGTGGTGGGATCAGGGAGGTTGGAGTTAATGTTCGACCTGTTTTTCTGCTTGTCCTGCTGGAGAAGTGCTCGTCGCAGCAGCACAGCAGACGACTCCTCATCAGAGGAGTAGGAAGAGTCATTGTCCGAGGAACAGAGGGATGACGAGGAAATTGAGCCTGAGGAGGAAGATGAGGAAGAAGACGAGGAGAAGGACATGGAGGGACGAGACAGAAAACGACCACCACGATGGGAGGTGATGGCTGCTCTTCTTCTTCTTGCATCGGTTTCTTGGCCGTCATCATCATCGTCTTCGTCCAGCTCAGAGTAGGAACTGGGGCAGTCACTGGGGTAGTCCAAACTGTAGTCTCCACCTTTCACTCCAAGACCAGCAGAGTTAAGACTCTCTTTTCTCAGAGAGGGAACGCCCTTTAGAAGAGCATCGGTCTGGGCTCCAGCACTGTCTCTTTCTCCTCCTGGCCCCTTTGTGCCATCTTTTCCAAGCAGGGAAGGCTGGATGTAATGTGGCGGTGCCCCTGCGGAGGCATGGCTTTTTAGCCCTCTCCCTCCAGCGCCTCCTAGTCGAAGCAAAGCTTTGCTGTTCTTTGTTTTGGGAGAAGTAACTCCTTCATGGTCAAGCTTCACTAAGAAATGTTTCCTGTCACGCTCGCTCACAGGCTTACGGCTCCCAGCTGCCATTGCCATGGTGACAGATGAGGAGCAAGATGAGTCCCGGAGACCCAAGGAAGGCGTGGCGGTAACAGGTCTCCCAGCTCCAGAGGTCCTACCATGTCCAAAGGTGGAGTAGCCATTAGCGATGCTACTGAATGAGTCAACCTCAAAAGGAGTGCCAAAAATGCTTTTAATGGGGGTCGGTGACACTAAGGAATGCAAGGCAGGTCGATGAAACAACCCAAAGTCTCGCTCTCGAATTTTCTTCTGGGCCTTACGGGACATCCCGTTGAAGAGGAAGAAGTCAACTGGCGGTCTCTTCCTGGGAACGGACCAATTCATTAATGGGGAGTTGCTTTTGGTTACAGAGCCTGTTACTGAAGTTGGCGCACTGGCTGTCTTTGGCACAGAGTAGATTTTCTTCGGTCTGCCAACTAGGAAAAGAAAAAAGCCAGAGGGGTTATAATTAAAGTGTGTTATAATCAATATAAAATGAAAGGTCTTCAAAGCAGACTTTAATTCATTGTGAAACTAAGAGCTTGGGTGAAACCTAATCTTTATCTCCTTGATCTGCACCTAGTTTCGACAAACCCATTACTCAGAAAGCCCCAAACCTGGTAAACCTGTCTCTCTCTCCCCCAGTTTTACTGTCAGGCCAACGTTGAGTTACATAGGTTGCCTAACTTTAAAAGGCAGACTCACGAGTTTTCAAAAAACTATGATTAACGTCCCTTTATGAAGTGTCAACAAAAGGCGGCAAGCAAGTTACCTTTGTTTATGAGACAGTTTACACACCTGCTGAGGGCTCACCTGTAGCTCGAAGGCATCTGATAACTTGCTGACAGCTAAAATTGTAAATGAGATTTAGTTCTAGGTTACCGCCTGAGGGCTTTACGACCGGATCCACGCATGTTGGAAGTAAACTGTTTTTTCTTAGGACTCCTATACCAGTTGGTATGCAACTAATCTTCAAGAGAAAAATCAAGAGCGGGGATTCTGCAGGTGTGCTCTTAGCAGAGGAATGTTTGGTCCTAATCTAAACACCTGATGTTTACAATACCTGGTCTTTTTTCCTGGGGCTTCCCTCCTCCCTCCTCATTGGCTGGCTTCTCTGTGGGTGTGTCTTTCTTCTCAATGGTGGAGCCACGCCGACCTCGCCGACCAGGAGAGATCAACAGAGCCGGAGAAGACTCTGCACCTGAAATGAAAAATGTGTTTGGTCATTCTTTGCTTTTACCTTCTTGCACACGTCTGCATTAAGCAACACTCACAGCGGATTTGGTATCCAGGAGGTAAAAGTCTGATGTTCACAAGAGAGATCCTGCCTCTGTCTCCGTCATCAAACTCCACCATTACGCTCCCCTCCTTCTCCTCCTCACTCGGACCTCCTAAGGTGCAACACACGTGCATAAATTTCCAAGAGGAAAAAAGAGTACAAAGTAAGGAT